AGAACGTCGTTAGCCTCTGTACACCATGGAGAACGTCGTTAGCTTCTGTACACCATGGAGAACGTCGTTAGCTTCTGTACACCATGGAGAACGTCGTTAGCCTCTTTACACCATGGAGAACGTCGTTAGCCTCTGTACACCATGGAGAACGTCGTAAGCCTCTTTACACCATGGAGAACGTCGTTAGCCTCTTTACACCATGGAGAACGTCGTTAGCTTCTGTACACCATGGAGAACGTCCGACTCGTTAGCTTCTGTCCACAGTTGTAGTCTTCTGTTTAGGAGGGGACATCCGTCCCTTGTGCTTTACTCATATCTTCATGGGTGGATTTGGATTTTCAGCTCTTTTTCTGCACGTTATTGCACGTTTTGACTTGTCAAAGCAAAGACATCGGCTCAATATATATGTACCTCTATGACACAATGTAATGTCCACAAGAAAAGATTTTACTCAGTTCCTTCTATGTGAGGCTCAGAACTTATCAATCCACCCTCATATGTTTGAAGTGAAGTTACCATATTTGTTCACGACCTTGAAGCTGTACCCTTAGCCACCCCGATTGGTCGCCGTTTTCCTCTGTGTTATCTTTTCAATATTTCACAACAGGGAACATACACACACTATTTCTGAATTATATGTGGACAATATCACCAGCTGCTGAAATGACAACATATTATTCCCTGAGGTCTTCTGTTATGCTGGCTTGCAGTGTACACACTTCCGGTGTAAAGATTGTGTGTTTTTTAAAATAGTTGGCACGATGTCAAGCTGCTTGAATGTAAAAGATCAATTCATCTTGCAGATGGGGTCAGTGAGGTTGTTCGGTATTTCCAATTTGCCCTTTAAGTATCACTGAAGGTTTGACCATCCGTATACGAATTGATATCATAGGCAGACATTCATAGAGACAAGCAAGTAGAGGGTATTCTTTGCACATTTTACACATACATTTGAAATCCAATTATCTCGTTCTCTTAAGTGTGTGTGTGTGTAAGATTACACAAATTGTCCTCCCTTGGAATTGAAAACCTGTTTATTTCTTCTGATTGGCTTGTCAAACGTTTCACCACCTCTGATTGAAAGAGATTTGACGGCCACAAAAGTTTAATTCTTTTGGAAAGAAATTCTGAAACAATAATTTTTAAGTGTGGCGTTAAGCCATAAACAACAACTACAACAATTATATGAAATTTGTTCAATTCTATGTTACAAATGCAGTCTTATGGTTACAACATACATATTCAAAATATGTCTGATTTTAGGCAAAGACATCAGCTGGAAAGTTGTTTCTAATTAATATAGTTTATTCCCCAAGAGATGCATATACAAGGGAGATGGTTCTATGGATATTCAACTTCTTTATTACATTGAATGCGGCGTTTAGGCGTAGATGGGTCAATCTCTAAAAAAAGTAACATTTCGGGCGAAGGCTCAAAAACCCCAACAAACCTGAATTCCCTTTTTAAATGTTTTTATTGAACAGATAAACAGCATAACAATTACTGAATATAAACGCAAAGTGTGAAGGCAGAAAACTAATCTTTGCATCAATGTACCAAGTGTCTGTGCTGTTACCTGGCCTAAAATTAAGTTTTTGTCACCGAAAATAGATCTTAATAGATCTTTTGGTATGGTTGTTGTGTTAAGGCATAGTTCAAAGATCAATAATAGTGAATTTACATTTGTTGGCTTTATTCAATTATTAGACTGTAAATATATGCATACTATGAAATTATATGCATAAAGATATACGATAAACTTGTCTGCGGATTACATTGAAATGGGACTATCATTATGCTATACGGAAAAGATACTTACCACACTTATTCTATGAATTATGTACATCTTTGTCAGCTGGGTTGAACCAATAACCAACTTTTGAGATGGCATAAACCTGGTGACAGGAAAGACATTCACGGTAACAGGACAGACAACACGGTAACAGGAAAAACAAAATTTGCCAAACCTATACCTATTTCTGCGTTTGGTAGTTTCAGAGGCAATGGTAGTAAAAAATATCAGCGAAACTCAATGAATTTACATATCAAAGTGTCAGGTTTAATTTGTATGAGACACTAATTACATAAAAACGTGAGGCTTGGTAACAGCACAGACAAGCTAAATTTGAATACCAAATATTATACGGAATTGCTTATCTTGAACATGGAATCTGATCAGAAACTATAGCCAAAACCTTAATAACATTCCTTTAGGTTATTTTTGCTTACTCCAAGTAAGAAACTGTAAGGAAATGAGAACAGCCAACTTTCAAAAGTTCAGCAGTAACAGCATAGACAAAGTCTGATAACATATTTCAACGGTTACCAAATGATAGCTTGTGTGGTAACATTCCGTAAATCATTAATAATGTCATTCATGTGTACCAGTATCTATAAACACCGGTTATTGTTTGCCACAAATTGTGTACCAAATACCCCCCACCCAAAAAAAGAAAAGAAAAAGAAAAGAAGGCTCAACACAATAGTCATTTTCAGCAGCAGAAATTGCCATTGTTAGGACTGAAGGGAAAAATATATTACCAATCATTTCTGAACCTATAACATTTGTGGCACTTGAAAACTAACAAATTGTTGAATTTCTAAAGATCTTTTTTTTTGTGAAAGTTTTTTTACCATTTGTATCATCATTGCATATTAATCGTAAGGCATTAAACTGTGTCTCTGCTGTTACTTTTTAAATACGGGCTGTTACCAAATAAATCCGCTAATGAGTGTATACAGTGTTTATTGACCCGAAAAGTTAATAATATTCAGATTTTCTTGTAACTGAGAAAAGCCCAAAAGATAGTTTTGTTCAATATTTCAATGTCTTAAAAAAGTTTCTCAAAATCTCTATTAAACTCCAAATGATGTCTGTGCTGTTACTGTTAAGTTTCTGTGCTGTCAAAGTTACTTGTATTTGAAGTGATCATGTAACATTACTTTCCTTTAAAGTTACTAAATATGTTACTTTTCTTAATTATGTAAAAGGGGCGGTCGGGTAGCCTAGTGGTTAAAGCGTTCGCTCGTCACGCCGAAGACCCGGGTTCGATTCCCGACATGGGTACAATGTGTGAAGCCCATTTCTGGTGTCCCCCGCCGTGATATTGCTGGAATATTGCTAAAAGCGGCGTAAAACCATACTCACTCACTCACTCATTAATTATGTAAAACAGTAGGGCGAGTAAAATGAATAACTGTTGATCATTTGTGTCAACATGATAAAGAAAATCCTAAAATGTCTTTGCGTCACTGAAATGTGTCTGTGCTGTTATTAAATTCCACATTGTAGTGTACATAGTGTTTATTGACACAGAAAGTTAAATATTATTCAGATATCCATGCAACAAGTAAGGAGTCAAAATATATGATCATTCATTTTTTCTTTGCCTTTTAATCTTTATTTGTTGAAATGTCTATTGAACACTATTTGTTTGGACACTACTTTGGACAAGATAACTGTCACAAAAAATAATGAATCCAGGTGGAAAATCAACGTTTTTTTGCTGTTATATGCCTTTCATGATATCATGCAACATAAATCATTACGGCTTTGGGAAGGATTTGTTTCAAGAGACTTTAGAGAATTTGAAAAAGTTTAATTTTGTATTTGTGGACAACCAATTTCTGTTCTCATTACCTATTTTACTGGCTGGTGCATTTTGTTCACTTAAGTGTGAAACACATACAAAAATTGTCTGAAAACTACCAAGAAATTTCCTGAAGGTATCCGGATGCAAATTGTCTTCATGTCTTGTTTCTGGTTATTGATGTTAGCCTGTGCATATCAGATATCTTGCATTTGGACAAGAAATGACAGTTTTTAAGAAATGGCCCAGATACTAACTCCGTTATCAAGCAAGTCATGAACAGAAATGTGAAGTAGGAAGGTTATATACATGTTGATGTTTTCACAAAGTTGAATGATGACAGACAGATGTTGAAACGACAGATAGGGCAGACGTATGAAGCCTCATGATGTACAAATAGAATTAACACGGCAAAATAGTAAAACAATACAGTGATTGGCATGATCATACAGCTTGGAAGCCAGTATTAGGTTGAGAAGGATTAAGATATATATACAATGGACAATGGAACCGAGACTAAGATTGTTTAGTGATGAGCTGAAGGGAGGCGGTTAGGATGTAATGACTTGATCTCTGTTCATGACTGGTTGGGATCTTTTGATGTGGATGTGTTCTAGGCGTTTCCTGATCTTGTAGTTGGTATGGTGTTTGTTGAATACGTTGATGTTGTTCCAATGAATGTTGTAATCTGGATTGGCTTGGATATGGTTAGAGATGGGTGATTTCTTTCTTCTGTACTGAGGGTTGATGTTCATTATTTCTAATTTGGAGAGGACTTAATGTTTCTCCACGATATGATTCACCACAATCATATATAACGTGGTAAACTGCACCGGTGGGATGATCTAGTGTTTTTGAAGGTCTGCTGTTGGCTTGGAGCATGGCTCTGATTTCGCCAATCTTGAAGAAGCCTCAATTAGATCATGAGATCTTGAACAACTATCGACCTGAGTCAAACTTATCCTTCATTTCCAAAGTTTTGGAAAGGATAGTAGTAAACCAGCTCGTTGATCATGTCCAAAGTACTGGAAATATGGAGGATATGCAGTCTGCATATAGGCGCTTTCATAGTGCTGAGACTGCACTTGTTAAAGTGCAGAACGATCTCCTACAAGAAGTGGAATCAAAAGGAGCGGCTATATTAGTTCTCCTTGACTTATCAGCCGCCTTTGACACTATAGACCAATCCATACTTCTATCAACATTAGAGGACAGGTTTGGAATAACAGGAAATGATCTCGCGTGGATGCAGTCATATCTCTCCGGGCGATTCCAATCTGTTCAACTGAAAAGCACAACATCTAAAAAGGTCGAGCTAAAATACGGCGTTCCCCAAGGTTCAGTGTTGGGACCTGTGCTATTCACAATCTACACCTCTTCCCTTGGTGTGTAGCCGATATCAAAATATGGATGAGAATCAATTTTCTCAAATTAAACAGTGACAAAACTGAACTTGTCATCATCACCTCGAAGGCATCAAAACACAGGTTGACAATACCAGAGTTCAACATCGACGGAATTGTTATTGAGCCAAGCAACCAAGCAAGAAACCTTGGGGTTATCTTTGATTCAAACCTGACCTACAAGGCACACATCAACAAAGTCTGCAAAAAAGCATTTCTTAACATCAGGAACATCAGTCAAGTGCGACGCTATCTTAACACTAAGACAGCCACTACTATTGTACAAGCGTGCATGCTATCACACCTTGACTACTGCAATGCCCTCCTGGTAGGATTACCAAAACACCTGATCCAAAAGCTTCAGCGGGTACAAAACCCTGCTGCCATACTGATCACAAGAGCCAAATGCTGTGAGCACATCACACCGATTCTCAAAGGTCTACACTGGCTTAAAGTAGAACAGAGAATACGGTTCAAGGTTCTCGTTCTTGTGTTCAAGGCACAGCATGGTCTTGCGCCAAGCTACCTGGAGGATCTCATCATACAATACCAGCCAACAAGAACCCTACGATCTTGTGATCAATCGTTGCTTGAAGTGCCACCATCAAGAACAATCTCCTACGGGGATCGCTGCTTTGCAAGGGCTGGTCCTCTTCTTTGGAACGCCTTGCCCAAAGAACTCAGAATGCTCAGTGAACTTAACAGTTTCAAAAAACATCTGAAGACACACTTGTTCAGCAAAATATATACGGCCATACCAACTGTGCGAGCTTCAAGAGCGCTTTTGAGCAGTCAGTCTGGAAACTAGCGTTATAGAAAAAAATACCAAGTTAATAATGTTCTGGATAGTTTTACCTCTCTGGAACACTACATCGATGTTGGCTTGGTGTTTAAGAAGGCGGCTGTAACTATGTAGGTCAGGCTGATGACAAATGGAGCTGTCTTCTCTCTAGGGTTGAGGGTGGCGTTGATGGTCTGGTCTACTAGTCTGGCGGGTAGTAGTAGGTTATGAAGACATGTCGTGGGTGATGTAGTTCAGCTTCAATCTGTTCTGGCATGGAGCAGATGTTCTAGACTCATCAAGCTAGGGTGGCTATAATACCTCTCTTGACTTCTTGGGGATGGTTAGCTGAGTGGTGAAGGTACTGGTCAGTATGGATGGGTTTGCGATTTGCAGTTTGTTGGACTTTTCTGGACTCTAACATCAAGGAAAGGTAGCTAGTTGTCAGTTGCTTTTTTCGTGGTGAACTGCATGCGTGGATGTTGGGCATTAAGGTGGTTGAGGAGGATGTTTGGATCATCATCTTGCTTTAGAATGACAAATGTGTCGCCGATATTTCTGTACCAATAGATCGGGGTCATGTCTGGAGGTCTTTCTATCTTCAAGATCTGAGATCTGTAAATCTCAGTGATGATGGGGGAGAGAGGATATCCCATGGGGAGGCCATGGGTTGTCAGATCTTGTCTTAACAGCTAAAGTAAGTGGATCTGATGCAGAAGTGGATGAGTCGGATAATGCTGTCTGTGGAGAGGTGAGTACCCAGGGTAGCGTGGATTTCGTCTATTCTTTTTCTGACGATGGATAGGGCTTCGTCTGTGGGTATGTTGGTATAGAGGTCAACCACACCGTAGCTGATGAGGATACCAGGCTGGTTGATAATGCTGATCTTTATGCAGAATACTGTTGAATCAATTATGAAGGACTTGGCGGATTCCCCTAGGGGGCTAGGGGGCAGGCAAGGTGTGTCTTGACCAGACGAGGAGGCGGGCTTTAACGGGATATTTATGGATATTGGTGGTTGCTCTGGTATAAAGTGGTTGGGGATGGGAAAAGTCACTTCTTATGTAGGGCGTGGCCGATCTCTATGTTGTCTAAGAGTTCTGTCAGCAGAACTTTCTTTTCTCTTTGGAGATAGCGGGTTGGATCTTTCTTCAGCTGCTTGTATTGGCTCAAGGGATTGGTACACAATAAAACATCAACTATATTCTACGGTGCATGGCTACTATTTGTAATTTGATATCAACAAGACATGGTTACTTGTTATGTGTTTGATGGATGTACCGATAAGTAGTTTATTATCAATAAATGATACCTGTATAAAGCTTCCTCTTGGAGAGTAATGTTTCTAGCCATTCAAACCCCTCTGTTATTCAATTAAATACAAGTATATAATCACTGTCAAATATATGGAATTTTCAAACTGAAACGCAAAGGTAACCCGGAAATCTATACTTTAAAATCAGTAAATGACCACACAAGTTCAATGAGTAACAAATTATAAAGAAACAGATAATTTTAAGTTTACAATCACACAAAGCATTACAATGGGTTAAATATGTAGCAACAGCAATAAGTAACAGGCCCCACAATATATGTCAGTGCACTCACGAATGTCATGAAGGTTTCACTGTACATGTCTGGAAACAGTACCAGCATATATATTTTGGCTGGTAGTTACTCTTAATAAAACGATACAACGATTACTGCCAAATAGCAGTAATATAAAAAAGATACAACGATTACTGCCGCATAGCAGTACCAACATATATAACTTGGCTGGTAGTTATTCTTAAACCTCCACGGTAATATCAAAAAGATACAACGATTACTGATACATAGCAGTACCAGCATATATAACTTGGCTGGTAGTTATTCTTAAACCTTCAAGGTAATATCAAAAAGATACAACGATTACTGATACATAGCAGTACCAGCATATATATCTTGGCTGGTAGTTATTCTTAAACCTCCACGGTAATATCAAAAAGATACAACGATTTCTGATACATAGCAGAACCAGCATATATATCTTGGCTGGTAGTTATTCTTAAACCTCCAAGGTAATATCAAAAAGATACAACGATTACTGATACATAGCAGTACCAGCATATATATCTTGGCTGGTAGTTATTCTTAAACCTCCACGGTAATATCAAAAAGATACATCGATTTCTGATACATAGCAGAACCAGCATATATATCTTGGCTGGTAGTTATTCTTAAACCTCCACGGTAATATCAAAAAGATACAACGATTACTGATACATAGCAGTACCAGCATATATATCTTGGCTGGTAGTTATTCTTAAACCTCCAAGTTAATATCAAAAAGATACAACGATTACTGATACATAGCAGTACCAGCATATATATCTTGGCTGGTAGTTATTCTTAAACCTTCAAGGTAATATCAAAAAGATACAACGATTACTGATACATAGCAGTACCAGCATATATAACTTGGCTGGTAGTTATTCTTAAACCTCCACGGTAATATCAAAAAGATACAACGATTACTGATACATAGCAGTATCAGCATATATATCTTGGCTGTTAGTTATTCTTAAACCTTCAAGGTAATATCAAAAAGATACAAAAAGTACAAGAGTGTTTGGGTTGCGGCATCAATGCACACTCTTACTCGACGACGGGCAGAAGATGTTAGAGCCTGATATCAAGAAATGGGATTCGAGTGCTAACTCATCCTTGTTTATAATAGAGTAGCGGCCAGACCCTCAAACTGCCGACGTATCCAGCCCCATAGTAGAACGAACCAAAATTAGATTTTCTGCTTGATTTTGCTTCCGGCAGAATATATAATGATGTGATAATTTACACATAGCAGACTGGAATTATAACAAAAGTAATCCTCTAGCCTCGCACAAATTGGATTATAAGTAAAAAGAAGCAAATACAATCGTAAATTTCGCTCAATTTTCATTGATTGGGAAATGAACCACAATGTATTATTAGTATTATCAACCAAGCCATTTGGTATTTCCAAAAGAGTCGACACGTCTTATGATGAGATGGCAGTGTTTATATTCGACATAACCTTTATAAAAAAATTGTTTATCAATATGTTATCCCTCTCCCCATATTGTCAAATTGTGCAATGTTTTATTTCCATTGTTAATTTCATTAATATTAGCTTTATACAACACAAACGCATATCACCGTTTGCAAATATCATGTCTGTATTATACAAATAATTACTCTTGACGAGGTCAATCTGCGGAAACAAGGTTACCTCGTCAATTGTAATCACTCGTTTTGTTATACCGAAATTCACTTTATAGTTTATGAAATCTTTAATACGTTCACTGTTTTGTGAAATGTTCGTACCAGACGCCATCTTGTCTTTTAAGCAGACGAGTCAATATTCATCACGTGACAGGTCAATACTGATTATATGACGAATCAATATTCGAGGTCATGAATCACTTGATTTCGGGATCTACATTGAAATGTATTGTTTCGTCATATCGTACCGATTAACTAATTAAATTGCAAGATTCTTAATAGAGAACAAAGATAACAAAGGATATTATTAAAGTTTAGCCTAAAATCGATGAACGACCGAAGAGGTCAGTTTAAGATGAATGTCATTTTGAAAGTCAAGTTCTAAATTAATACATAAACAGTATATAAAGTGTTACACATGCACATACAACTATCATTACTGGTTCTGGCTATGTTTGATAAAGACCTATCGAATATACGAAGAAACAAAACAAAAATGTGCACAACGAAATAATAATTGCTCCTCTTCACAAATGGACAAGCGGATGATACTGTGGACTCAACAAAGGTATGCTAACCTCACAATTTAACATTTAATTCATTTAATTCAGAACATTTGTGAGTACACTATTGTTCTCAATACCAAAGGAGTGCAGTATTGTGATTATATTTGTTATTAATTGATTCTTCATTAGAGAAAGTCATTTAAACCACAAAAGGCACACAGTTCGGAATGACGAGACTGTCAAAAGTACTAACAAAGCGTGTGGTCTGACGTTGATTAATGAATAATTTGCACACTCGTATGTGCAAGGGGCCGACGTATGGTTCTCAGTAGGAAGTGACAACTTGGAGACGATGGCTTGCGGTATATACAGTTTTACTCCATACATGTAGATATATACATACAAAAGACACTATGTGCCAGGTCAGCACATAGTGGTAGTGGTTGTTGTCTAGGTGCCCCGGAGCACCCAGCCTAACCCTAGCTAGGCTTATAGTCCAAGAGATAGCATGGAATTTATTTACCTCAGAGGTCCAAAAGGTTTGAAATGTGCATCATGAAGAAGATTGAGTATATTTTCGAAAAATCAATTTCTTACAAATTGTATCTTGACCATTTCCTCACAGTATGCTACTAAAGGCATGACTCAGCAATTATTTTTTTTAGTGCACGTGATTAAGGAAAATGCGATAAGTTTAATAAAAATTGAGAATGACTAAAGTTAGTTGGGTATTGAAGTGAAGGTATGAGCATATACTTTATAAAAGAACACAATTTTGCACCCACTATATCAAAATGTCTTATCTGTGATAGGAAATATCATAATATTTATGGTAGAGCGTCCGCCCGGAGAGCGGAAGGTCCGGGGTTCGATCCCCAGCCGCGTCATACTAAAAGACGTTAAAAGATGGTACTTGTTGTTACCCTGTCTGGCGCTCGGCATTAATGGGCTAAAACAAGGACTGGTCGGTTCGGAGTCAGTATACTGTGTATTCATGTTAAACTGCGGCATGGTATCTCAGTGTGCTAGCACTATAAATCGGCATCAGTCCGGACTAGTACAAGCAGCCACACACACACACATACACGTCGCCATATAAGTGCAATAATCTTGGACGCGACGTTAAACCCCATTTCACCTCACCTCACCTGTAATATGAGGTTTTAATTTTCTCAGTAATTTTGCTTTACAAGCCCAACATTATTGAAACAATATTATTCATTTTCAATAATTCAAATGATTATTCATAAAGATTCAGAGTTTTTTTTCAAAGGAGTC